CCGTCAACAGACTACCATCACAGCTATAGGGTGATGACCACTTCTTTCTCTCTACCCAAGCCAATGAAGGCACCTACTCCGTCACGCGTGACAGAGGATGTCGCCCGCGGGCTAGAAAGGGGGAAGGTCTTTACTTCACCGCAAGAAGCCACACAAAGGCGCACGCGTCAAGATTTCGGTTCGGAACTGCCTCCATGCCGGCCATTCTTCTCCGATGAACGTCGTCAGACCAGCCTCCCACACTTGCGCGAGCTGGACCTCTTCTCTACGTGCACACGGCCAATTTCCGCGATCCACCGGTCTCATACCATTGAATCTCCTGAAGGCTTTCGTGCATCCGCGACGCCCTTCTCCGCGGCACCCTCCTCCGCCGCTCAAGGGCCCGTGCCCCCGGCGGCCTACTGTCACCAGAGCCGTTCTTCTCTCGCAACGGCGACCTTGCACCGCTGGCATGGCTCACAAGACCTGACGGCTGTCAGAAGCTGTGGCCCGGACCGGCTTTCCGTAGACCTTCCAACTCGCGAAACGGCCCCACGCGGACAGCGCCGACCCCGCCGCCCAAGCAGCCAGCCCCGCTGCAATGTACCCTACACCATAGAGCAGATCGATTTCATTGCATACTTTCGTGATGATCTTCGCCTACCGTGGAAAACCGTGGAGGAGCAGTTTGCCGTCGTCTTCCCCAGAGACGTCAATCGGGGCCACAGGCGACGGGCACCAGGCCTCCAAGGCATTTATTACCGCCAGAACAATCGGTCTTCCAAACAGGATAGCGATGGCTTCTTGATGCTTGATTCGACCGATGGCTCCTTCGCCTCCAAGAGACGTTGTTGGGGACGGGGCGGGAAGACGACCGGCTCGAACGGTCTGCTCGCCACGCATCCCGAGCGGGCTGTCAACTATGCCTGGGTCTCAGTTGAGCATAAGACACAGTGCAGCATCGGTTGTACGTGTTTTACTTCTCCGGTCCTTTTTTTTCCCCCTTTTGTCCCCCCTCCCCCCACCCCAAAATCCCGGTCTGGGCACGGTTTTCACTGTGGAACTGAAGTCTGACGCAGAGGAGTGCGCAGGCCGTAAAATATAAGAGAACTTCGCTTCACCTACAATCATCGTCAGCCCTGTTGCTTTTTATTTAGATTCCATGAAAGGCGTTCTCCCCTGGTCGTGACGCAATGGAGGCTTTTCATAGGGAATTACAAACTTGAGCCTAAACGACTCCTGTCTGCAAGTGACGTCTATATGGATGACTTCGTGACTGCCTGGACCATGCGGCAGACAGACAATGTATCCTGCCCAAAATGTGGACCCGGCGCTGCCCACTCTGGTCATCCCATATCAACTCACGACACAAACGTGCACTGCCTGCCTGGCGGTGTTCTTCGCCGGGTACTGTCCCCGAGGGCTTGTTAGAGGCGCATTGCTTCTGTGCCAATCGACACCAGGTCGGGTCCATCCACCCCATCAACGGCCCGAGGACGCGGGACCCCGATACTATGAGTACGCTGTCAACAGTTTGCTTGGTTGCGATGCGTTGATTTCCGCAGTGACAAGGGTCATCCCAGCCCAGTCAGGTATTCCCAGAGCCAGGAGTCCGTGATGGGGAGAGATGTTCTGCTTCCAACACGAGACGGGACAACGAAAATGTTGAAAGCCCTCGAAATACTTTGCCCCGCCTGTTCTATTCGAGGCAGTCCATCCGGTGGCACAGCATCCAATTCCTTGTTTTCTCACTCCAAGGCCGCCTGCCTCCACTCGGCACCGCCGGGTACAGCACCCATCTTTGCTTTTCCATCAGGCCTGGGGGTGGTGGCATCACGCACGCACGCACAAACTGATCAATGCCCGCTACTGATAGGAAGGCGACGATGCGCGCAGGCCATCGCGGATCCCGCAAATACAGGCCCATACTGCAGAGAGGATGCGACGTTCAGGTTGTTCGACGAGATCAACGCCCTACCCTGTGCCTGTGCTGGAGCGACTGCAAAGGTCGACCACATCAGGACGCCTTTCTGACTCGGGCCACGACGTCTTCCGCCTTTCTGTCGTGGCCTTTTGTGTGCGTAGTTCAATCTCAGCGCAAT